GTCTCGCTCTGAGGGCCTGTTCCCTCATCAGACAGGATCATGATCATGCATATACACTCTCTAACGTCCTCAACCGCAGCCCTGCAGAGCTGAGAAACACACAAGTCGAGCTGTTACTGATGTTATTACACCGCTCCTCGGTCATCAGCGAGGGACGGACAGGTGGAACATCACTCAGATAGTGAGTTTCAGGTAGTCATTCATGAAGCAGGCTTCAAGCAGACTAATGTGAGACTGCAATTAATTGGACAGCCAGCATCACTGCCTGTACTGAAGATGTCAGTTCATTGACGAGTAAGTGTGACAAGGCTGTGTGACAATATCAGCAAGTCAAAAGTTTAAAATGACTAAATACCACTTTTTCATGTTTGATACAGATATGAATCCCTCTCATATACGACTAAGCTGTTAATAATATATTTGTAGGGATGGATCTAAAACATGCTCAAATTGTGAAACAAATATAGGAAGAAATACATCGCCTTTATATATCTTTTTTTACTCCTATATCCGAACCAGTGATTTTGGCCAGTATCATACCTTATACCAATACTGAGTATTGGTTTGAGAAGTTTAAAAAGCATATTTATATCATGGATAAGTAGGAAGTTTACACCATGAAATACAGTATTTAGTGTTCCAGTTTATACTCAAGCCAGCAGTCTGATGAAAACAGCAAAACCACAAGTTTGGAGTACGGATAATTAACTGCTAAACCAAAATGTTGGAGACAAACTTAAAATATTCCTACCAAGGTTTTCCCATCCAGTAAAAAAAAAAAAAAAAAGTGGGACATCTCTGTTGGTGTGACATGACAAGGATCTTTTTCCCTCTCCCAAGAACATATGCAAGCAATTTGTACAACAAATGTTGGTTTTAGACTGTGTTCCTTGCATACTAGTGGCTTTTCAAAACCTGGAGGGCTCCATTCGTTAGTGCTTGAAAGCAAAGCAAACAAATTAATTAACACTATCTCTACATGGGGTGGCCAAGGAAAGCAGGCGCTGAAATGTTACACCATTACCTAAATTCGCATGCATCTGTCTGTGTCCCCCCACCCCCTTCTCCCCATCCCCCCCTGTGCGTACCCTCCCACCCCTGCCAGCCAACACACAGCGCCCTTGAACAAGGCCGAAGGACCACCTGCGTGAAAGAGGAGACCCTCTCTGTTATGTCTCTGCTAGGGAATGAAATAACACGGAATCCAGCTCTGCAAATAACTCACAGTGAAGATCATTTTCCACATGCTGCTTGACAAAAGGTAAAATAAGAACAGATGATGTCCTTTCTCTCCTCTCGCTCTCACTGGGAGTTTGTAGCTCGGCTCTGCGGCTACACTCAACAGTCCCTACACTTTGTTGTGTTGGTTTTCTAGCCAAGAGGCGAAGGAGTTTGACCCCGTTAGTGGTCTTGTTAACCGGGTGGTATGAGATATGAGGTCTCATTCCTAATAGCCACTGACATTGAGTCAGCCATTTTTTCATGCCCTCACTTGGCTGAGGTTAAGAGGGGTTCGGGGAACCTGATCCCAGATCTGATGATAACGTGTGAGCCATCAGGGTAAGCGGGAGGCCTTCTTTTAAACTGGGCACCCATCACAGGAGAGGGAGGCTGCAACTGGCTTTGTTGTAACCAGTATGAGAGGAGAGAGGGGGGGTGGTATCTTGCTGAGGAATTTACACAAATAAAACGCAGCAGGTCACAAAACATGCTTTTACCACTCTCATGTCTGTCTGTCAAATATGAAGCTAAAGCCAGCAGCTGGTTATCTTAGCTTAGTTTACCATGAAGACTGGGAACAGGCAAAAAAATTGTATCTACCAGCACGTCTAAAGCTCACAAATTAACACATTATATTTTGTTGGTTTTATCTGTACAAGCTGGAGAGTACTCCAGACTACTTCTTGTCTGGGTCCTGTAACTTCCTAGAGCCTCAGCTGGTTTCCTGGCAACTGGTCCCAGATGTTTGTTTTTTGTACAGATTAACAAAAATTCAATATAACATTGCAATGAAGATGCTAGTAGTAGGATTTTGTTACACTGTTACACTTTTGTTACTAGGCTAGCTGTTTCAACCTGTTTCTAGTCTTTATGCTAAGCTAACCAGCTTCTGGCTGTACACAGACATGAGAGTGGAATTGATCTTATCATCTAACTTTCTTCAAGGTGTATATTTCCCCAAATGTTACTTCTTTAACTTCAACAATGACAACAGTTGACACAAACTGAACTGCATCGCCAACGTCACCAAACTCACTTCTAGCTGTGAAGATGCAGACCACGCAGACATGTGTGACGTGAACCTGTCACATATATCTTGGCCAAAACTGTGGTTTAATTCTCACTGGAACAAGTTGCCGTCATTTTTTATGAATTATACCAAAAAAATTGCAACTTTGTTTTCCCATGTTTCGCTTTCTCCCGAACTTTCATTGTAATAAAGTGCCTAAAATCATTGCAACATGCATCACAATTGTTTAGAAAAACAGTAACAATCCAAAAAAAAAAAGCCACAGAAATCCTGGTGGGACTGATAATCGAACTAAACACTTCTCAGTCTGTATAACATAGCACTTTATTTGACCTTTGCTCGCTCCTCTGAAGAGGACACGTAAGAAGTCTGTCTAATCCAAATAAACAGGTGAGGCACTTATTAGCCCCCAATTCTCGCTGCAAGTGTAACTTCATTTTCAATTTCGACTCTCCCGCTGCGACTCATGGGAGAGCAACTTCAAAGCTGCAGCCATGCACTTGAGGTCATTATCTTCATTTCTATATCCTCTGCAGGTTCTCAGCATATGGGAACATTTTAACTCTGGATTTTTTTGTGTGTGTGTCTGCAGCCATAAATCTGCCATGTCAACTATAAAATATAGCTGACCAGCAACAGATGTAGCTCTAATAGCTACCAAAAAAAAATGAAATCAAAATTTACCACCTCTAGATTTTTATTCTAACACATAATAGCCTTTAAGATTGATTTCAGTTTTGCGCACAGGAGATGGACAGTGAGCGAAAGTCAGAACATGCTCTTGAGGAGGGAAGAAAAGGGGGTTGGGTGTTTCCTTTTAATTTTCTATTACTCTGTTTCACTTGCTCGATCTCTTTCGTTCTTTCTCCCCTTCTGTCTTTTCTTTAATCCCTCTCCTTCCACCCTTCTAGCTGAGACGAATCCTCCTTTCATCCTCTTCTGCAGCGAGGGCCCTGGTGTCTGTTCGCACAAAGCCTGACCATCCCTGACTCCTCGTCAACCCCTTGCCCAATTCATCAAGTGGAGGCCCATGGGCATTCATCACCCCCACCACCTTTCATATCCCGCACCAGCTGAAAGCCACTGTCCCTCCTCTGACTTCAATGCAGCCATGACACACCCGTAAGATTTATAGTGGCATAATTAGTAGCACTGAAAAAGGCCTGCATGCTTTGGAGGGTCAATCATACTGTATCCCACTCAGAGGAGCTCTGAGAGCCAGTCACATCTGCTTCAAAATAGATTGCACTGCCACCACAAAAGTTGATGAATTAGCCAAAAACAAGAAGCAAAGAAATTCATCAAAGCCCAGCGGTGACATCAAAACAATCATACATACTTTGGGTAATTTAAACACACTATTTGTCACCATTCATGGGAGCCAGACACTGTCATAAATCCAATTTCTCTACAGGGAGGTTGCTGCTGCTTGAGATGAGCAGCTCTGAGGTGAGAACTCCCCCTCAGGACGGGGGTTTCCGAAAACAGCTCGAAGGAGGTCTAAAATAACATGCCTAATAGTTAAACAGTGTTATTGATGTAATCATGCCCTCCCCTCCCCGCCCACCCCGCTGTCACTGATATCTCAAGAACAGTGAACTAATTAAAACACTCCTGGAGTTTGTTTTCATTTTGATCCTCACACAGAAATAAAGTCTTCACTAAACAGCTGCGTTTTGTTCTATTTTTTTTTTCCTTTTTCCTGTGAAGCCACAAGTTGGGACCCGTTGCTCCGTTGTGCACGGAAGAGATGCAAAATCCCCATTCAATCATAAATTACACCTATTATTCATTATTCCTGTTGTGGTTTTCTCTGTGTTCTCTTTCATGTGCATGATGGCACAGCCCACGGTGCACCTGAAATATCAAAATGTTTGACATCAGTGGAGGCACTCTGGCTTAAGCTGACAGGAGGAGGTGGAGATGGGAGGGTGTTAATCAGTGTGATCAGTAACGAAGTACATTTACTCAAGCACGGTACTTTAGTACAGTTTTGAGGTGTTTGTGCTTTACTTAAGTATCTGAATGTTACTTTATACTTTTACTTCACGGCAATTCAGATAACTTTTTATTAAATTATATTTGTTTGACAGCTACACTTTCTAGTTACTTTACAGATTTTGATTTTACATACAAAACGTGATCATCTTTTAAATGTTTTAGCTCAACTAATGCTTCCTACACTTAATTTAACTTAATTTTTTGCATGACAAGTGCTTTTTTTCTACTTCTTTCGTAGTATTTTTGAATGCAAGACTTTTTACAACCTATTGCTTCTTTTAATCAAGTAAAAGGATCTGAGTATTTCTTCCACCATGGGTGCTAATTCAAAGAGGACATTTACTGTGAATTATGGCAATAAAGTAGTTAAATATAACCTGTATTTCTTTATTTCACTGTGTGTGGTGCTTGCTCTCCTGTTTTATGTAGTTACATAATTACTAAGCAGCAGAGGTTTTGTGGAGAAGCAGCAGCTTATTTGGATCAACATTGGGAAAACAACATTTTGGATGATTAATGTTGGGGAGTTTTTAAACAAAATCTAAGAAAAAAAAAATCTACAACACTTTTGTCAAAAGCACTTCTGGTGACTCCTAAAGTTCATACAGTCTCTGCAGCAGTCAGATTTGATACTACACGTCATCAGCATTGGGATTTTTCCTTTTTTTCTCTCTCTTCCTTGCCAGTAGTACAAGTGGTTAAGCTGCTGGTTTGCTGGAGCACATTGCAAACGTTGTGCAGAGGGGCGAGGAAGCACCTGCTTCCAACAAGGAGGTGGAGAAAATGCTCTCTTGAAAACGTCCAACTGCAGTGGTTGGCACTGACACTTGTGCAGGAGGTTGGATTGCTCTGATGCACAGGTTATTTTGATAATCTTGTGGGGGGGGGGAAACGTTCGCTTCATGCTTTGTGGGTTTCCTTTTTTTGTTGTTTTTGGTTTCCAGGAGAGGCTATGGTGTGACCAAAAACCAGTCAGAGTAAATTATGGATTGCCTTTGTGGCGGAGTGGTTGTTACAGTTTATGATAGATTTTCGCCTTTGTGTCAGCTTCCATTTGTGTTTGAACAATGATGATCTTTCCTTCTGCATCTGTGTCGCATTTTAATGCACCACAAACTGTTGCCAGAGTTCCCTGCGCCTGGAGAGGCGATGTGGTTTTATCAGACAGCCTCGGACAGCAATCAGGAGCGCAGGAGCTCTGAGAAGACACTTGTGGACTTGGATTTGCTCGGTCGGAAGATAGAGACAGCTTTCTGAGAGAGCAGTGACAGAAACGCGTAGACAGCGGCATCATCAGCGGTAAAAGTTGGACTGAAAGTTCACGTTCAGTAAGGAAACTGATGCGCGTAAGAAGGGATGCCAGCCAGGCGTGGCTTGTGTTTGAATATCCAATGTGAGAATGCGTGGGGAGTATGTATATAATAGAGTCTTTCCATCAGATAAACAGAGATATCAAACTGATGATTACAGCAAAGGACGATCAATAAACTAAATATAACAGGACGCCTCTGGTTTGGAGGAGCACGGCGCGCTGGGTACGCTTTGTGCGTGCATGGACCGGACTTGTGTAAACTTTTTTTCCCTCCTTGAGTCACCGTACATTTTAAATGCCGTCGCTTAATTTGACAGCTGTGCACACAATGGCAGAGGTCGGGAGTTTTCTGGGGACAATCGACTTGGATTTACAAAGCTTTCCTGCACTCGGGAATATGCCCCTACCGGAGTCTCCAGTGGGCTTGAATGAGCGGCTGGGGCAGATTGAAGGGAGGCTGCAGCGGGGGTCGCCGACGGATTTCGGGCACCTCAAAGGGATCCTGAGGCGGCGGCAGCTCTACTGCAGGACCGGCTTTCAGCTGGAGATATTCCCCAATGGGACCGTGCATGGGACAAGACAGGACCACAGCAGATTTGGTGAGGGTATTTCTTTAGCATTTAACCTTTTCTTTTCTTTTACAACGAGAAATTACAAATATTGAAGAGTTTGTGATATAATTTGTCTCAATAGACGGGCCTTAAGTTTGGTTCACAGTCGAGGTCTTATTACACACAGTTATAAACAGAGAGGTAAACTGTGGCCTCCGGTAATCTCAATATTACACAATTTAATTACAGTTTGAAGTTATTTACGAGGTCCCTGCCACGTAATATATCTAATATAATCAATTATTAGAGCATTTCCGCTGCTCTGTCGCTCTAAAACTGCGTGAAAGTGAGTTTAATTAAGAGGCTTTTTCCTGCCGCACATCCCCGGTGAATACACGTCCGTGCGTCACTGTCACCTGGCGCGCGGAGCCACACACCTTTTTCTGGTAATCCCCGCTGCGCGTGGGGGGCAGGTGTCTCTCTCCTCAGCCGCAAACAAGCAGCGCGTGCGCGTCTCACAGCAACCAACGAGTCCACACGTGTCTCTGTGTGTGTGTGTGTGAACGCGGTCCCATTAATGTAAATGGAGCGAGGTGCGGCTCGCGGGACAGAATGATAAACAAATTAGGTCAGGGGGCAGACACGCACATGTCTCGCGCCTCATATCCATGCGGTCATCTCGCAGGTGCGCGTCGGCTCCGCGCGCTGCGGAAAGAGCGGAATAAGCCGAAATTAAAGCATGACCACTGCGGAATTCAAGGAAGGTTTAATGTTCAAGATTTCAGCCAAAACAAGCCGGTTTACAGGGATGGGTGGTCCGCGTGTTTGTTTCTGGCTTCACTTAGCTTTTAAAAATGCAAGGTCTTTGTCAGAGCTGCAAGGAAGACATGGATTTGATTAGAGGGATATGAAACACACTCTTCACCCCACAAAAAATTAGAGGGATGTTCTCTGTCATCCTCTGGCATCGGATGAGGTCGGGAGATGGGGACCAGGTGGCTGTAAGCTGGCCTCTGCCAGTCAGCGCAGCCAGCTGGATCCTCTCTGACTAACCTCTGCATCACAACAGCCAATAGCTTTTCATTTTACCGGTTGTTTCCCTGGCCCTTTGAAGTGCATGTTCACTTCACTGTAACTTCCTGTGAGTCAGCAGCCCACTAAACAACGTACCCACATCTCAGCTTCATAAAAGTCACTTCTCGGTCTGTATTAGTAGCCCGGTTGGGAAGTTCCAAAGACAGGATGAACACATTTATAGACACCACAACCTACTTTAATTAAATGAGTGATCTAAAAGAGAAGGAACCATCAAAACCAGAAAATCAAAGAAATCTTCATCTGGTGCTGTTCTCTCATGTGGTCCGTGCATTTGTCTTTTTTATTCGGCTGTAATCAATGAAAGAGTTATTTAGTGGCCTTAAAAAAGGGACATCTTCAAATGTAGATCATCGGTTGTGACGCATAGTGGTGACTTAAAAGCCACATTGGGAGACACAAGTTCATAATGAACAATATATAGAGCAAAAATAAAGCTTTCACTCCTAAAACCTGTTAACTGGGGCATATTCTGACTGGTCTGCTGTCTATAAATGGATGCCACTTGTTGCTGTGTGTGTGTTTGTGGGCTTTTTCCTGATTGGTTTCTTGCATTGTGTGCGTGTGTGTGTGTGTGTGTGCGTGCATTGTTTGACCTCAGGTATCCTGGAGTTCATCAGTCTGGCAGTGGGTCTGGTCAGCATCAGAGGGGTGGACGCCGGACTCTACCTCGGCATGAATGAGAAAGGAGAGCTCTATGGGTCGGTGAGTCAAAAAAAAAAAATCTCCTTTCATTCACAACCCCGCCCTCGCCACGCAGCCCAGGGTCTCATTCACAACAAGTCTGGCTCTTCATTTAGAGACTTGCTTTACAGAATACACAATTTTCCAGCCATTCTCACAAAATGAAGCTCTTTCTTTTATGATATGCGTCAGCACTGAAAGAAGTTCTCAGTAGCAATCTGAGAGTCAACTTTGCTATCAGGGTTCCCGTACGTTGCAGATGGGAAAACCACAGTGAGACAAAACAAGTATGTGTTTCTTTTCACACTCTCTGTCACATACTTCCCTCTCCTGCTGCTTTCCTTCAGTATGGTAATAAAGACAGTAAATCCAATAAGCAAGGATGACTTTTTCACCAAAAACAACACCGGCGGTAGCAGAGAAAACAACAAAAAACCCTTTATACTTGTTTTATGCATGTGAATGGATTCAAGGAAAAGTTGAGTTTGCCGCTTTAGAGAGTAAAGCAACTTCTTCATTTAGTTTTGAGATATGCAGAAATATTTACATATTTTCCCAAAGTGCAGACAGGAACCATTTGGAGTCACTCTGGATGTGTGGTGTTGTGATTGTGAGTTTGTTTAAGATTACCTCTCTGTGCACAGCTGGACTCAAGTTTTGGACTGCAGTGTTGAATATAGAAGAAATATGTTGCGCTGTTCCACAGTAAACGTAGACAATATCTCTTTCATCCTGGCTGACTTTGTCTCACGTGTGGTTGCTATCTGGAGACAGAGAGAGAGGGAAGGGAAGAGATAAAGACAATGAAGGGGAAGTATATTAGGGTTACCTGTATCAGGTGTCCCAGGGCATTACCTGAGGGCCTCTCAGGGCTCAGACTCCCCCCCCGGCTCTGAACATTTCGAACAGAGGCTACTTTTAAGCACGGCCATTATGTTGAAAGTGCAGATATTGTTACTGCATGCTATCAGAAACTGGCATCCTGGAGCTTTGACCCTGGGGGAGGGGCCGGGTGAAGTGGGAGGTAGTGATTTGTGGGGGTGGGGGTAATTGCACACCTGACTGACAGAGGGAGCGATGTAGACACGTCTGTCTGAGGCTGAGAGGCCAGGAGGTGGAGGGGGCAACAGGTAGAAGGGTGCTTCCGTCCCACAACCACCAGACCTTGACGAGCTTTTGATCCAATGAGGTTTCTGTGCGTGTCTGTGTGTGTGTGTGTGTGTGTGTGTGTGTATTAGCATGGAGCTGGCCCAGTCATGTGCCCTCAGGGCTGTGTTTACAGACAACAGCTTCACCACACAGCCGCAGCCAAGCATAGCCTGACAGCCAATCAACAAAATTGCTGCTGGAATAAAAACGGAGACTCTTGCACAAACACTCACTGGAACTATAACACGTGTTATTAAAGGCAGCGATTGACTGAATGCTGTGAAAAGAAGGAATGCCGTCGTAGCCAAAGAAGTTAGTTCAAAAGTGTCCGGAGAGAATGGGGGAGGGGGGGGAAGACTGTTCGGGTCACCCTCAAAAGGGGGTGCATATTTGGCCCTTGGTCCTCGGTGATACCCCGGACTCGACTGAGGTTCGACCCTCTTGCAGAGCCGCTGCGTGACTGACTGTTCTTGGCAGGAGAGCAGCTCTAACCCTGATGTCTCTTATTGTTCTCACACACTCACTCAGCCAGCACACTCTCACCTGCTGAACCTACAGCCATCGTTCATGCTGCGCTGTCAGGGAAGACTTTGAGAGCTGCTGTGTGTGTGTGTGTGTGTGTGTGTGTGTTTAAGTGAGAGAGCAAGGGGAAGATTGTACGCCTGTTCGCTGTTCTCCTTGCATCACAGGGAGGGAAATAACGCTCGGTGTACAACGAGAGGTTAACAGGTCTGAGGAATGAGTGCAGGGCCTAAAGTGAAAAGCCGCTAGTAATGACTTCCCCTCTTTTGTCATAATGAGCACCTGTCTAAATGAGTTTCTACTGGTTCATTTCAGGTTCCAAGTGCAGTCCAAGATAGTTAATGAAATACGTAGACTAGTATACCAGGACGAGTGGAATCTGCACGCAAAGTGGGATCATCCGTCTCGATCTCGGCTGCATTTTGTTGCAGACTTTCTCACTCAGTGCCGTGTGAGCAGGACTTTAGCATATGACTAATATGTTGTTTTCTCTCCTGCAGAAGAAGCTGACAGCAGAATGTGTGTTCAGGGAGCAGTTTGAGGAGAACTGGTACAACACCTACGCTTCAACTCTGTACAAACACACAGACACAGGACGCTTCTACTACGTGGCCTTAAACAAGGACGGCTCGCCCAGGGAGGGTGGCAGGACTAAAAAACATCAGAAACTCACCCACTTCTTACCCAGGCCGGTGGAGATCGAAAAGATCCCTCAGGCGTACAGGGACTTATTCCAGTACAGGTGACCAGTGCTTACACTTGGAGAACTGGTTACAATCGGAGGAACAGAAATAAAAGAAGAAGAGAGAGGGGGTGTTGTGGATATTTTGGACCTGGTACAGAACTGTTTACCCTCAACTCCCCCTGAGGTCACTGTGTTTGCGCCTCAGCCCACTGCCAAGCAGCACTGACATAAACATTGTGCGTGTTCCTGGACGTCGCTTCTTTGCCTCTGCAGTGACCTCAGAGAGGGAGGGAAAGTGATCTTGTAAAACCACTGCGGACACTGCGGATGGAGGAGCCCCGCATGACCGCCCAGCTGTGGAGGGCGAGCAGGACAACCCGATCAGGTGTCATGTTTTATCAATAACCACTTTGTAGAGGTAAAAGCGTAGATATTGAAGCGGCATGTGGAGTCGTGGCTTTGCGTAACACTAAGCTGGCGTGGGAAAAAAAGAAAAAAAAAAAGAATGGTTGACTATGAGGACACCAAGAAGAGACTTTTAGGAGCTCTGATGACGGAAAGCACTGCAGATGTCACATTGTGCATTTGTCACGCACTATACACAGTCATGGTAAATGTAAGAAAGGGCACATTCCACATATGCAGAGGATAGATAGAAGAAAAAGAGTCAGAAAATACATGCATGTTAAGTGACAGGTTGGGATAGTCAGGTACTAAAGAGACTGTGAGGAGAAGAACTGGAGTTTTATTAAGTTGTCTTAAAAAAAATCAAAGATGAAAGAGGGGGAATAAAATCTGTAAGATGAATGTGTGACAGATGAAAGAGCACTTACTGCACATCCCCAGTCCCAGCTGTAGGCTCGCTTGTTCTCCCATGTAATCATCAGAGTCAGAGTAATGATCGCATTCATCACATTTACATAAAAATATCAAGCAGCGTCTTGTAGGAATTGTGTGCAAAACAAGCGATTAAGCTCGGGACAAAAGCACTTCTCTGACTGCGGTTGTAAAGAATAAGTGATGGTTTGTTTTTTAAAAGGATGGTGACTTGTAATGTTCAGAGTGTCAGGAACATTATTAAAAATGCAAGCAGCTGAGGTGTACATATGGGTGATCCTATTTATGAGATGTACAATATATTTATTTTCTACATATAAAGTATAAATATAAATCTATATATTTATTTATTGCAAAGACTTTATTTTGTAATGAACTTGAAGTTATCTGGACTGTAGATTCTACTGAAATTACACAAAAAAAACAAACAAAAAATAAATAAATTGCAATGAACATGACAATAAAATTGTCCTGCTATCGAGAACTCATTGTGAGAGACTATTTTTGCTTGGATAAAAATGTGATGTACCAATTAAAACCAGATATAGAATCTATGTGAATGTTGCATTTCTTTCCTTTTGTTTTCAGCGTGTTAGCAGCAATCAGTTGGGACCACCACTTTGGTCCAGACTAAATTATCTCATGAAACTGTTGGATGGATCGCCATTGAAGTTTTGTCATTAAACTCCGGAAGACGAACTCACTTTGGTGCTGCCAACTTTTCCTCTCGCCGCACCGTGAAGTTAACATTTGTTTTCACCTGATAATGAGCAGACCTGCCTTAGTAACATTAAAAAGCAGCTTTCTTTTATGTGAATAAAAAATTATTAAAGCTTTGCTGGTGTAAAATAACAGATACTGAGAGAGCATTATTATCAAAATTCCTCAAATGTTATAACATCTCTAAAGCAATGCCCACATGGCATTATGTCCTGCTGTCCAAAAGACGGAGAGAAAATTACGTGAAAAGATACGGCAGATTTTTTCCCAGAGAAGAGCACCAATACAATCCCATGCCAATTTGCCCTCATAAACCCTTTACCAAGTAATGTGCACAGACCCTCTCTGTCTCCACAAGGTCTTAGTCAGCCTACATCCACCGTACTAAATCAGATTCCTTATGCAACTGGATCCCAACTCCTAATTGGCTTTACACATCAGCATGGATTTAGAGCAGTGATTGGTTGTTCATTGCAGGGCCTCACAGACTCCACTACAGTGCAGACTGCAGCAGTCCTTTTCAATGGACAGAAACAGCTGCCTGCGGCACAGAGAACCAGCAGGGATGTGCCACAAACCTGGAGTGGTGGTAATCTGGGGCTGAGAGGGGATGGGATCAACATTTCAACATCTGCAATAGTTGTAATGTTTCTCCACTGGCAGATATCTGTAAGCTGTGAGAGCAAGCTCCCCTGGGGGGAGGGAATGGAAAAGTCAAAGACATGCAGGGGAAAACCCTGGCAGACTGAGAAATGAAAACAATACCGGGAGAGGGAAAAATAGATGAAAGATTGAAGGGAGAAGAGAGTGGGACAAAAGGCACTTAGTGCTGTGGGTGTGAAATACAAGGACACTGCGTCGGGATGTGTCTGCTATCTGTAAAGTATCTGTAACTGCTATCTGTAACTGTAAAGAACTAGCTTTAAGTTTTGGGAAATGGTCGTTCTTGCTGAGAATTAGAGAGATTAAAAAGATTGATAACATTCTCACATCTGTGTGATTAATATGAAGCTGGAGCCAGGAGCTTAGTTAAGCATGAAGACTGGAAGCAGGGGGGAGGACAACTAGCCCAGCTCTGTTCAGGTAAAAGAAACCTTAAAAGCTCACTAGTTAACACATAAGTGCTTCAGGGTTCAACAAGTTTAGACTTTAAGACCAGTTTTAGGTCCATATTGGCTAAGTACGAAGGGTATGAAGGAAAAATCAGTATTAGTTTCATGTCTGTTTTGTCTTGTAGTGCAACATGATCAATACAAATGTTTCCCAAAAACAAATTTAAAAGAGATTGAAAAATGCAACTTTATACAAGTAACATTAACCTAATTAGTCTAATTAATTTAAGACATTGTAAGGCCTAAAATTCAGATTAGTCTGCCTGGCAGACCAGGAAGATTTACCTTATGCTTTTAAGTTCATTTAGAAACAATGTTTTCCAGTCTTCCAGAAAGCAGCTTGTTCATAATTCTTTTATAACCAAATGCAAGTGATCCATCTTAAAAACATTTCTTTTCTGTGTCTATATTCTGCTGTCCTAAGTGTTTAAAGCACTGACCATAAACTACAACACCCCGGGTTCAAGCAGGGACCTTTGTTGAATAATTTTGTTTTATCTGTCTATTAAAGCCATAAGATGCCTCCCAAAATACTGGCTAATATATTGTTAACTGATTGTTTAGACTCTTAAATATCAATATCGGTACAAGCCTCACAGAATTCACTTTCGGTCATGCTTCAGATACGTTATCATGCAGCTGTATAATAAAAGTTTATGTAAAAACCTACAAAAGAAGGACCAGAATGACCAGATCTCTTACCAACATCTCCATTTATAACTTCAGTCAGTGAAAAGTGCTTTAAATCATTTCAGTCCTGAAAAACAAACACAGGAGTAGCTCATCCTTTTGGTCACTTTATTAAATGTTATATTAAATACTTATCAAGATAATAGCAGATCAAATTCATGGCAAATCAAGTTGGTGTATTTGCTAACATAAGAACATTCTTAGAGGAGGCCAAAAGGTTTCTCTACATGGAATACACCTTGTGCAAACACAGGAGCCAACTAGAGACAACAGTCGTCTCTTGATGAGAAATGTACATATTCCTCATGATTAACAGCTACACCAGTTTAAGCATTTAGAAGCAAAAATGTGCCAAAGTAGAATACAGGTAGTCTGGGGGGCCTGCCTGGTGAGACTACAGTGTCCAGAAGGCATTTCTCACAAAGCAGAGGACACAGATCAGCCAGGACATAAGAAGATTTCCAGTCTTTACTCTATCCAAACAACTGCGAAACACACACATTTCAAACTTTGACAGACAGTAAAGGGAATAGTTTTTGGGCCCTGTGACGCCCGGCTGAACTGGTTGTGCTTTGTGAGACCCAGTCACTCACCCAAGCTTGGGATCAACACAAGTGGAACATAAACAGTGAAACAGGACGCACAGTGCTATGCTAGACAACACGTGACAATGAGAATGATGTTACAAAAAGGTCATAGGAACCGGCAGGCAGTTTTGAACAACACAAGCATTCCATTACCATGTTCAGCGACAACTAATGTAAACACGTAAAAGCATAATAGAAAAGATTCTCAACAAATCTCAGAACTTTACAGAGCTTTTTTTTTTTCTTCTTTCTTAGGAAATGAATATGACGCCATTATTTTTTTTTCTGTTTTTGTTCACTTATCAATTTTCTATCTCCCAAAAAGAGCAGGACTTTGCAGCACCATCCGCTGTCTGCTTTGCTAGATATTGGTGAAGGAACCTACTGAGGCTAATAATCATGTAGAGCTTTACATCATAGAGTCCTATCACCAACGACACTGGTCCCACTCAGGATTAGTTAGGCATTTAAAACAGTATAAAAAAACTGAGTTTAAATAATAAGGAAACCCTCTTAAGGGGAGAACAATACAATGCTTTAAAGCATTGGGGGTAAAACTTTTTTTGCCTTTAAATACATGAAAAATGAAGATATAGAACTTGAATAACATTAAGGCGGTATATACATTTTTTTTCTGTTGAAATTCCTAATGGACTTCTTTCACACAGTCATTTATACATTATATTCCACCTTCTCTCAGTGAACTACAGAATAAAGCACTGAGAGTCTATCCCACTTGAGGCCCCAGTGGACAGCAGCCTAGTCTCAAAACCACTCCACCCTCTGATTGGTGCACCAGTTTGCTTTGAGCTCTGAGCGGTCTCACAGTGCGTTTGTTACAGAGAACTGGGCCTCGCTTGAACTGGGCCACTGGGAGCTGACTAGCTGAGTGGGGGGTGTTGAGGAAGAGTCCCTCTGACCTACAGGCCCTTGGAGGGCCCAGGATTCTTGCCCATGTTTTGATGGGAGCCCAGGCCGTGGAGCTGCTGGTAGAGCCCCAGCAGGTCCATCTGGCTGAGCCCGCTGCTTCCCATCATGCCGTTCTGCAGGGCCAGCTGGTTCAGGTAGCTGGCCTGGTTAGCCATGGCCAGCTGCTGCTCCTGCACCTTCCTGTTGGTGATCAGCTTCTGCACGAACATCATCAGCTGGACAGACATGAACACATTTATTTAGAATTTAGAGATTTAAGTTTGAATAATATGAATAAAATAGTTTCTAGAACAGTAGAAACCTTTATGATGTTCACATTACTGATAATCCATCATTAAAATGTTTTTTTTTGTACCAATAACTTAAATGCACCATCAACCAAATTATTGTCACTAAAACGCTATTGTAATCATAGATTGTGTCAGTATGGTCCAGTTCTACCTGCTACAAGTTCTTTCTATAATAAACAGTTTGCTGGTAAAATGGTGACAGTAGGTATTGTCTTTCAGTTATCAGCTACTGTGGCTCGTACATGAAGCCGTTCTTACCGTCTGCTGCCTGGTGAGTGTGTCCCTGTACACGACTTCTCTGCGCTTGAGCTCCAGCTCCACACTGGCCTGTCGACCCAGAGCCATTGACTGGACCTGACTCTCTGTGAGTGACGGGTTCTCCTTCCACTGCGGGGAGAGAGAGAACAGTTCACACACGTTGACCTCGACCATCAAACACAACTATGATGCAGACCAGTGACAGGAAGTTCATTAAAAGCGCATCTTCTGACACTCACCACTCTGGCGATAGTATCTTCCAGTGACTCCCGTGCTAAAGACTTCAATGCATTTGTTGCTTCGATGACTTTTTGTCGCCCCTGGTTTATAAGGTCCTAAACACAAACATGAAATATGGTGAGCTTCTCTCATTTTCACCATGAGAAACAAACACTGAACTGATGGGGGGAAGTGGAACATATTTACTACTTGTCTTCATGCACATGGATGATCTTTAAACCAGTATACATCAATATTTTTGAGATTAATGTTTTATAAAATGAGCCAAAGCTATCACTCACAGTGACAAGCCCTCAGAGAATTATTGCAGCTTTACAGAATTTATTTTAGCTCATTGTTTTTGAGGATGCACATTTACTGTTCAGTTGCCTGCCAAATAAACTCTAATCGATAAACTATGCCTAGCTCCAAGTGGCTTCGCTAGCATAGTGGTAGCTTTAGCTCTATCAGTTTGATCGTTTTATGCTCCAAAATCTGCTGACCAGATCTTTACAGGAGGATGCAGCACTTACGGAGTTACTGAATCACTTTCACAAGTTTATAAGAAGAGTAAGTCTGTTTACTTTACTGTAACATCATTAGTTTTCATATGCCGTGATTATAAGAATTGAATCCAACATACAGTAACAACTACACTTATCTGACTTCCTTATTGAA